GGCTCCCTATATGGCCACGAACCGCGCGAAGGGCGCGTCGAAATGGGCAGGGAACCGCGCGCGAACTTTGCCAGTGAGGCCTTCGGTGGAGCTCCTGATGGGGCCACGGACCACGTTAGGGGCGCGCCGAAATGGGCTGGGAACCGCGTGCGAACTTCGCCAATGAAGGATCCGGTGGAGTTCCACATGGGACCACGAAACGCGTGAGGGGTGTGCCGCATTGGGCGGGGGACCGCGTGCTAACTTTGCTGTCGTGGGGCCACGAACCGTGCGTGGGGTGTGCCGGAATGGGCGGAAACCCGCGTGCGATTTTTGCCATTGAGGTTTTTGGCTGAGCTCCACATGGGGCCACGAACCGTGTGTGGGGCGTGCCGAAATGGGCGGGGAACCGCATGCGAAGTTTGCCACTAATAAGGCCGTCGGTGGAGGCCTCTATGGGACCGCAAACCGCGTGAGGGGTGTGCTGAAATGTGCGGTGGGCCGTGTGCGAACTTTGCAATTGAGGCCTTCGGTGGAGCTCCCTATGGGGCCACGAACCGTGCGACGGGTGTGCCGAAACGGGCGGGGAACCGTGTGCGAACTTTGCCACCGAGGCTTTCGGTGGAGCTCCCTATGGGGCCACGAACCATGAGAGGGGCGTGCCGAAATCGGCGGGGAACCGCATGCGAAGTTTGCCATTGAAGCCTTCGGCGGCGCTCCCCATTGGGCCACGAACCGCGTTTGTGGTGTGCCGACATGGGCGGGGAACCGCGTGCGAATTTTGCCATTAGGCCTTCGGTGGAGCTCCCTATAGGGCCACGAACCGTGTGAGAGGTGTGCCGAAATGGGCTGGGAGCCGCACGCGTTTTTTTCCGCTGGAGCCTGCGGTGGAGCTCCCTAGAAGGCCACGAACCGTGTCGATGGTGATTACGTTGACGGTGACGAGTTTGATGATGATGATGATGGCGATACTGATGGTGATGGTGATGACGATGAGGGTAATATGATGATGAGATGTTGGTGACGATGTTGATGATGATGATGGGAAGAGGGAGGAGGGAGAGGAGGAAGGAGAGATGGACGTGGGGCGCTGCCTCTTCAAATCGAGGACCCAGCACTGGATGCTTGGGAACAGGTCCGCACGCTTCGCTTATCCCTACCCGTTCAGAAACGTTGCCCATGACAGATGACGTGGGACAAAGCGGGCAACCAGGATGAACAGGGAGATTTCTTGGAGCAGTGGTTTTGCCTTTGACGGCCTGGGGGCGAGGGGAAGAGGGGGGGATGAGGAGGACGAGGAAGTGGAGGACGAAGAGGAGGAGGAGGCACACTGCCCCTTGGGGCCCTTGTGGGACGCTCTTGGGCACTCTTGGGGCCGTCTTGGGGCCCTTTTAGGGCTCTCTTGGTGCCCTCTTGAGGCTCTCGCGGGGCCGTCTTGGGAGCCTTGGCTGGCCTGTCCTGGCCATGTTGGATGCCATCGATCAGCGGGGAGGGTCCCGATTGCCCCCCCCCCCCGCCCTCGACGTCGCCTCTCGGAGTGCTTTGGGCCCGCTCTCGGGCGCTCGTGGGGCGGAGGAGCCTCGTTGGCCCCTCTCGGGGCTCACTTGTGCCATCTTGGGGCAACAGTGAGGCCCCGAACGTGCATCGGGAGCGAAACGGTGCGAAGGCACGCACCACTGATGTGTACTGGGGGGGGGGCAGGACTTTGGCTTCTTGAGGGGGCCTGGTGGGAGTTCCGAGAGCACTTGGAACCCTTGTGTGGCCCTCGTCGGGTCTTTTAGAGGTATGTTGGAGCCTATAGTTAAACCACCTTTTGCTATCTTGAGCAGCCTTGGAGACCATCTCGGAGCATCGGATGCCATCTTGGAGCCATCGTGGGCTGTCTCGGACGCTCTGACCGATCGCGGCCCGCCCCACAAAACTTCAGGGAGGGGAGGGGTGAGGGTACCCTTCCCCGAAGGGAAAACTGTTTTGGAAGAGGGAATGAAGAGCTCGTGGGATTATTGCTGGTGTGTGGAATATGTACTGGGCGCTCCCGCCTCGACGCCAGCGACTGCTCCTACGAACGCGAAGCTCCCGCAAAAGAGCGGGCTTGCTTCCCAACCCCGTATGTTAAACGCCCAAATGCGACGAGATCCTTTCCTGCTCGATATTTCATAACATGCTATTCCGATGTGCCTTTGCCAGAGAGGCCCTCCAACTCAGGGACAGCGCAGCCTCCTGAGACTTCCTCGCAATTCCGTCAGGTTGGCCAGGGCCCAACTACGACGACAACGGCTCCCGTTCAATACTTCCTCGCAGCTTGTTCCGAGGCACCTTGGTCAGAATTCGCCTCCGCTTTCAGGAATGGCGCTCTCGCCTGAGGCTTCTTCGCAATCCACTTGCCGCCGGGGGGGTTCAACTGCGACGATAACGGTTGCCGCCCGATGCGTCCAGTCGATGTATTCCCACGCGCCCTGGTCAGGTGCGACTGCGGCGCTATCGCGCGAGATGCGCTCGCAAGCCAGCCAAGTTGGTGAAGGCCCAACTGCGACGACTGCGGCTCGTTGTTTTCTTCATTGCAGTTTACTCCGAGGCGCGTTTGCCAGAGACGCCCCCGCTCTCAGGGATGGCGCTCTCGCCCGAGACGTCTGAGCAGTTCGCTCAAGTTGGTGAAGTCCCAACTGCGATAACAATGGCTCCCGCTTGATACAGTGGAAACCGATGCCAGGAAACGCCCTGCTTACCTCCAGGGTGCCCCTGGTGTCTTGGGTCTTGAAGTTTTTTGCAGAGGAAAACGTGACGGCCCCACCAATCATCAAGGAACGTCCTGGGGTCTCAGGGTTGGGTTTCTTGTGGACGGTTTCCTGTGATCGAGGTCTTGTTGTATTTCCTTGTCAGTTAGTCGCATGCGCCTTGTCCATATGCATGTTCACAGTCCAGAGCGGCGCCCATCGCCCGAGACTTGATCGTAAGTCCTTGAAGCGGGTGCAGCTGCGACGACAAAAGCTGGCGCTCGGTACCTTTCTCACAGTTTACTATAAGACGCACTCGAGGCCCCAACAACTCAGGAACGGCGCAGTCTCCCGAGAGTTCCTCGCAATTCGCTCAAGTTGGTGAGGTGCCCGTGGGCGCGGCAGCTGGCATGACGGCCATGGTGTCGCGATGCGCACACAGAATCTATAAGATTCTGCTGAATGCCATGTCTACTGGCGACTGCAGCTTCTGGAGCAAGAGTTGAGATTGGTACGACCACAGAAGCTGTCACAGTCATCATTGTTGGACCTCCCCGAGGGTATACGTATTCCCTTCATTGGCTGTTTGCCTGAATGTTATTGATCTGTCTGCAGCCGTGCCGTCTTGTGATTACCAGAGCACACAGTTTAATGATTAGGACGTGTACTGTCTGGAAGTCCTCACGGGTAGGTGGGAGCGCCTCCGGATCTCAAAGTTTTGGACCCCGGCGGTTTAATGGAGGAAGCACAGCATGCTAGAATGTTGTCTCGATTCAGTCCTACGCGTATGTTGAGGAATCCGTGCTGGAAGCTGAACGCTGTGCCATTGCCAGGGGTCATTCCGATTCCGCTGGCTCGATTCCATTCGATTTCCCAGGCTTCCGATTCGAACCGATTCGATGCGGAGATTCCGATTCGCGATTCCGATTTCCAGTCCGCCCGATACGACTATTGTCGATTCGATGTGTCAGTCGATGTTTGCCGATTGTTGCCGATCCGTTGTCGCGCTGGCTGGATCTGTTACGCCGTGCTGTGCTCACGCCGTTTCACGTGCGGCACGCAACATTTGCAGAGCCGAGATAATCCAAAAGGAGGAGGAGGAAGAGGAGGAGGAGGAGGAGGGAGGGAGGCAGGGGAGGTAGGGAGGAGAGGGGAGGAGTGGAGAAGGAGGACGAGCAGGATGAGGAGGTGGAGGGAGGGCAGATAGGGAGGAGAGGGGAGGAGGAGGAGGAGGAGGAGGAGGAGGAGGAGGAGCAGGAGGAGGAGGAGGAGGAGGAGGAGGAGAAAGACGAGCGCCCTTGTAGCGCCCCAACGACGCACCATCGCCGCCCTCGCCGACGCTGCCACCGCCGCGGCCGCCGCCGCTGTCGCCGACTGCCAGCGGCCAGCTGCCAGCGGGGCCTGATGGGGGTCAGAGAAGCTGGTTGACCCACCGGGGGGTCCAGCTGAAAGGGGGTGGTTCGTTAGATCAGGTGCAAAAGATTTGTGGGGTTGTCATACATTTGGGGCGTGCATTACATTCCTGTGTGCAGATTTGTGGCTGGATGTTCGCGTGCAATGCATTCGCTGCAATCCAATGCCATACAATTCTTTGGCGCAGTACATTTGCAGTACTATTGCCCCACATCTATTGCACCACCCCCTTTCAGCTTGGGCCCCTTTTGGGTCGATCAAAGAGGATCGGATTCCCCCCTCTCAAAGAGAACCCCCTCCTGGAGAGGGCCTCGTTTCGGCCTGGACTGAGAGCTGGCCTTCCCGGGGAAGGGGGCTCCCCCCTTTGGGAGAGGGGCGCCTCCGGGAGAAGGCCCATGCTAATTTCGATTCCGATCTGGCTTGTCGCGATCAGGTTTCTGATTCGATCCGAGTCGGCCTTGCCGACTTTTGCCGATTCGATGTGTCAGCCGATGTCTGCCGATGTCTGCCAATTTGATGTTCGGGTCGATCTATCGATTCGATCAATCGGTTCGATGTTGGGGCGCTGGCTGGCTGGGCGCCGGCACCGCCGTCGCGGGCAGCAGGATTGTTCTGTCTCGCGGCGGCGCGTTGCGAGACGCATTCGGGGACGGTAAGCTGTCGTGGTCATCTTTCCCCTCTCTCTTCTGCAGGAGGGGTCCCGCTCACCGAGGAACACCCCCGCGGGACGACGACGGCGGTTGCGACGACGACGGCGGAGGAGAGTCGACGGCGACGACGGCGGTGACGACAGACGGCGGCGCGGGCGGCGGGCGGCGCCGCGTCCTCCCAGCGACGCGGCGCAAGAGGGGCCCCGGTCCTGCCCAGCTCCCCACTGCCGCCGCGGCCGGGGAGGCCGTGCAGGAGCGGCGCCTGGTCGAGGCCGCGCTGCGCCCGCGCGAGGCACTGGACAAGGCGGGGCGGGCGGGCGCAGCGGGGCAGTGCATCGGGGGGAGGGGGAGGAGGAGGGGCGGGGGGAGGAATGCTGCGGTGAAGGGCGGGCGGCCGAGGGAGGACGCTGATTTTGAGGAAGAGGGATCGTGGGGGGTCGGGAGGCGGGGAGCAGGATTGGGAAGGCAAGGGGGAGGAACAGAGGAGGTGAGAGGTTGCTTGGTGTAGCAGGAGGGGGAGGCGCATGGAGCACGAGGATGCCTGAGTGTCGACGGAGGAAGCAGAGGCAAGATGGAGGCAGGAGGAGGTAGCAGGAGGGATGGAGGCGGGGTGGGGAGCCTGAGGAACGGAGGGAAATGACGACGAGGGGGAGCATCACCTCTCTTCTCCTCCCCCTGCTATAGGCTGCCTCTTCGTCCGTTATCCTCGCCCCTCCCAACTCTTTCCTCCTTCCATTCCCTTTCCCTCTCCTCCTCTCTGCTGCCTCCCTATCGCATTATTGCCCCCTCCCTGCTGATTCTTCCCTCTCACATTCTGCCTAGCCCCCCTCCGCACGCCGCATTACATTTCTCAAGATGTTCAACACGTCATGCCTCGCACCACACCGCTCCCTTCTATCCCGTCCATCCTCCCTCTCTGACTTCCCACTCTCCCTAGTGCTCGCTTTCTCGTCTCTCCTTGTTCCCCCCTCCTCTGCACTCCTCCTTCACCCGTTCCTTACCTCTGCCCCCTTCCGCCCCATCCACGCCCCTCTTATGCCCAACCCTTCCCCTCCCATCCCAGTCTCCCATCCCCCACCTCCCGCCCAGCCACATCTCTCCGTTTCTTTCTACATGTGCCTCTCTCCACCCCCACGCCACGCTTCTCGCACATGCTTCCCCCCACCTCCTCCACGACCTTCTCATCAAGCTCCTTCTCTGCCTGCCCAGGCAATGCAGCGATCGCTTCTTGCCTGAAGCGGTTCGGCTACTGGTGTATCAGACGGTTACCAGGACTGGCTGCTACGGCGCCACGAGGTCATCAGATATGAACAGTTGTGGGCCGATCAGCAAGGAGTCAGAGTCGATTGCCTCTAGCGTTTTAGCACATTTGAGGTTGATGGCTGGTACCCCCCGGGTCTGGGCAGCCGTTTGCAGAGCGCTCCAGAATGGTTGGGTCACCGGCCGCCGCATGCAGCGGCGCATTGCTTGTCCTTTCGGCTGCGGGGACGGTGAGGGCAGCATTCAACACCACGCGCACTGCCCGCGCGTTGCGCGTTTTAGCCGCTCTCGTCTCGGATTGCAGCAGCCTGTCCCTCTGGACCGCGTGTCCTTCCTCCTCCTGTTGTCTCCTCGTTTCTGCGAGGCCGCTGCGAGCGAGCATGCGCGGCGGGCCTTGGCATTGTACGCCGCCGCCAGTGCGTCTCGACACGGGCGCACGCCCGATGCCGCCGCCTTCTTGGACCAATTTGCCAGGGAAGCGTGCGCAGTGCATCCTGGTCTGGCCGCCGTTGTGGCGGCATCCCTGGCCGTCAGTTGAGCTCTTCTCCTCGTCATTTCCCTCTCTGTGTCGTCTCCTCGTGGGTGCTGTTTTCTATAGTTTATCGTTGCACGTTTGTGCATGGCCGCCGGCTGGCACTGCGGTTCATTTCTGGTGCCCTTGTGTGGACCATCCATAGGCCTGGCATGCGATTTGATTTTATTTGTGGGGGTGCAAGCAGCACCTGTCACACCCATCTTCGGTGTGGGGTGCCCGCAGATCGACAGGCGCGGTTGTGCCGGATATGTTCCGTTCAGCGTTCGGCAATGTAGGGTAATCCACATGTGCCGCCGCTGCTGTGCGCTCGTGTCCTTTATAATCCTGTCCCTGAGGAGGAGGAGGCGGCGCTGTGGCTTGGAGCATGGTAGTTTGTGCAGCCAGAATTGCCGCCACCAGCGGGCGGGCAAGAGTCGTTTTTTTTGATAATGCCTTGGTGTGGAGCCCGATTTTGTCCACGCCGACAGCGCCAGGGGACAGGGCCGCGGCTCGGAGAGAGACAATCGTGTGGCTCCTTGTCTGTGCTGGCTGGTCTGGACGTGCCTCGATTAATCTGGGTGCGAGCAACTAAAAAAACATTTGAGGTTGATGGCAAAAGTCCTCCTCCGCTGCCTCCTTGTTCACATCATTTCACTCCCCCCTACTCCTCCACTTGCCCCTCTGTTCCTACTATAACTCATCCTCTCACCCGTGTTCATCCTTGTTCTGATTATCCTGCTGCTCCCTCCTATCCCTCTCCCCTTCGTCTTCCACTGTCCCCTCCGCATCCCCCTCATACTCCTCCTGCTCCCTTTCTTCTTGTCTTCCTCATCGTCATCCTCACCATCCTCTTTTCCTGCACCTTCATCTCCACATCCTCCTGCTTTTCTGGCTCCTATCGCGCTCCTCGTCTGTCTCTTCACCATCATTTTCATCCACACATTCCTCGTCCTGCTCCCTTTCACTGCTCTTTCTCCTGCTTCTCCTGCCACCGCTGCTATTGCTCCTTCGCCGCCGCCTCGGACTCGGACTCAGACTCGTGGGACTCGTAGGAGGGTATGTCGGTCCCTCCGCCCACGCGTTCCCGCTCCTGGCCCAGCCACCGCCGGGGCTGTCTCCGCCGCCTTTGCTCCTCCGCAGCCTCCGCCACTGCCTCCTCGGTGTTTTCCCCTTCGCCCCGCTTGCCTGGCGAGGCCCTCTCCGAGACGCCGGCCAGGGTGCCGGTGCCGCACGAGCCTGCCAGGATGGCGGCCCCTTGCCCTACCCTCCCGGGCGTCGCAGAGAGTCAACCTCGGCAGGGCTACACCATCCCCAGTGGGAAGGTTTTGGCCCCGCTGTCCGCTCTACTCAGGGCTGGACAGAACCCCCAATAGTGACACGTCGATTAGTGAATTGTCCGTTTTTGGTTCTCGAGAGGGCGCCGTGGCCGTTATTTTCCAGGCTCGCGCCCGCCAGGTTTGGGCCTCAGGTCGTTTTCACTAAACCACGTTGTACTAAAGGGGGGTCTGTCCATCCCCGGGTTTTGGCCCCGCTGTCCGCTCTACAGTGGATGCCAAGAACACACACTGCTTGCATCCAGCGTGCCCCGGGTTTCGATGGTTTCGCGACGGAAAGCGTGGCGTTCCCAGGCCAAACATCGATGGTCGTCCTAGGGTCCAAGGGTTGGGTTTCTTGTGGGAGTCGGCACGAACGAAATGTGTACGGAAAGAATGGGCACAATGCCCAGCATCAGTTCCTGTTCATTTTGAACAGAACTCGCTGTCCGCGCCGCCGCGGCCTGTGTCCATTTGAGACAGAAGACCGCCTGCCCAACAGCGGCCGCTGTTGGTTCGGGCACTGTGCCCATTGTCCGTGCCCAATCCGGGCGTCCAGAGAGAGGCTTCTTGTTGACGAGCTCCCACTGTACCACCATGCCCACGGCGATTGGCGCCTCCCCCTCGGGATCGAAGGGGGGGCAGCGTCGTCGGTCCTGTCCCCGCTCCCCGCCGGGAAAGCCTCGGCCCCGCTGCACGGCGCTCCTGGGTCGGGATCTCTGCTCCGGGGCCTGGCGCCCACGGCCCAACCCTCCCATATGGGACGGGCCCCAGGGCCCCACGGGTCCCCCCCCAGGCAGATGGGATGGGGGGGGACGACCACGACCGCGACGATGACGGACGACGACGGACGACGGACGGACGACGGGCGGACGGACGAACGATGCTGACGACGACGGCGGGGCGGCACCGCAGCGGCGCCCCAGATAAAAACCTCAGCTGACGAGGGGTTTTATTTTCTGTCCCGGGGACCCTGCGTTTGGCTCCCCAAGGTCAGAGTTTTACTTTTGCTCGTTTGCAAGGCCTGTGGCCATTCGACCTGAATTGCTCGTCAGGCGGCTTTTTATATTATCTTACCGCTGGATGGGTACGCCCGTGAGCCTAGCGGAGGCATCGCGAGTGGGATCGCCCCCCCCCCTCCCCCCCCCCTGTGGTCGTGGCCACGTTGGCGTGGCGTGGTGGTGGGTGCTGGTGCCCCCGCCCTCCCCTGAGTGTGTGGGATGTTTCGTCGTTGTCGTCGTCTTCCGTCGTCTTCGTCGACGTCGTCATTCGCCGTGCGAGGCTTCCTGAACGGCCACACGTGTACCGAACTTGTAAACGCCATCGCCTGCGCGGGTGACGGCACGAGGTGTACAATGGCGGCCTCCTGATTGCGGCGAGGCCTTGTGAGCCTCTTCTCGCAACGCGTGCCACTGCTGGATGAGCTGCTGTTCGCCGATTGGACGACTACCAACATAGCGCCTTCTGCATTACATTCCGTCGTCGTCCACACGACTTTCTAGAGTATAGAATGTCGAGCTGGCAGCCACTTCATCCAACGTGATCGTCCTGACAGGCACCCAGAGGCGAAGATACCGACGCGCTGAACAATGCCGTTCGGGGACACGATGGAAGATTGATGCAGGATACTGGCGGGGCGCCAATACAAACAACGGGATTGGTATTATCAGGTGGTATGGAAAGACAGTTTGAGAAACAACAAAGTACGACAACTCCGACTACCACCTGTTGCTTTTTGAGCGGTGGAGCTTAGCAGTACGTAGTGCAAATTGCTTGCACGGCTTCAGCTTGATCGGCGCCGATGCCCAGCCTCGCCCCATTTAGGCTGCATCGTCCACAACCTATGCGAACACGATGCGGAAGATATGAGGTTGGATTTCTGAGTTGTTGAACGAGACATTCTTATTAGAGTTGTACGTATCATCCACATTTATCGAAATTGAGGTATGGGACTGTTGATGAACCCGGTGGGTCGCTGCAACTTGTGGATACGACCGCCGTATACATTAGCCCGCCGGGAGTATTTCGCAGGGCAGCAACTTCGTGAGGTATATGTTGGGATTCCATCATACGTAAGTAACGTGGTATAGGGGATCACAGCCACAGTAGCTTCATGTATTGCACGTGCTGTCCGAATACGTCATCGATCAAGTCGCTTGGACCACCTTGTTGCTGGGTTCGGGGAAAGCGACCGCCCATTACTACGAAGCAGACGAGCAACCATTTTCCTATGCGTCTGTCTGTGGCCTTGGCTGCTCGACCTCCGACAAATCCGATGACTCCGTTTCAATGGTAAAGGCGTTCCATAGTGGACCGCTCAGTGGCAGGAGCCCACGCACCAAAAAACGCCTCTTTGAAAGACTGGAAGATTTTGACGGCACCCGACATCGATCATTCCCGGAAGCTGGAACATATACATTGCCAGTGGCGTTTTTTTTTTTTTCCCCCCCCCACGATTAAATGAGGGTCGGGGGCGACGTCGGGGTGGTGTGGTGTATAATTTTCCCCCGTTTTCCACGGGACGCAACGAAACATGTATACACCAGGGTCCAGTATACACCAGGATCCGCTCTCGAGTGTAAACTGCAGCGCATGGTCGGGAGAAGCTTCGGTGTATAGAGTTCGTTCCCTCACGTTCCATGAAGTATATGGATTTGGAATTCCCCGACCGACCGAAATCTCGATTGGGACCACGCTTCAAGATGGTGGGCAAGCAGGTTTTCGTAAGGCACCACCTCGTGATGAACGAGATGGTGCTTTTCGCCGCCACCGGCCTTGTTCGCTGGCACAGGGGCAACGTTTACGAGAAGAACTACCTGAAGGCGACGAGCACGGGGTGGAGGAAGTAAGCACGACCCCCAGATTGCTCACACAATTGCAGCTCGGGCGCGTACTGGAATTATGAGCATAGGGCCGAATTCATGTAGGAAACATGGAGAGCCCGGCAATCTTTAAACATGGTACATGCTCTTGCGCTCGACCGAACCTCGCTGTGGAAATGAGTGGATTCAGCGCCAGACAACCATGGTCACCTAGGGCCAAGCCGATCCTGATGAGGACACGCAAGGACGACGTTTCCCGGGTTGTCTCCGAAAGCTACGACAGCGCCACGATTTGGATGGGATTGCTAAAGTCCTGGACGAGCGTTTTAGCAGGGAACCAAGTGGCGACCTATGGTGAGTAACACAGCTTTGGTTGGTCGGCCCCCGAATTGCAGGGTTTGTCCGCCGTGGTCGGCGCCGCCCGAAGTACTCGCGATCCCCTTTCTCTGTGACGCCCACCCTGAAAAACAAATGACTGGAACTGACCGAGCCCCCTCCTCTTGAGGCCCCGTTTTCTCGCGCCCGCACATAAGGATGGACAGAAAATACGGTCGTGCCAGAAGAGTCGATGCAGAAACTGGCTCAAAAGGGCGGGCCGCTCTGATATCGGAGATGTTGCAGGGCTGCTCGCGCCATGCGCCTCTTCCGCACCCTGGGTGAAGGATGGCACTGCGTAGGAATTATATCCCGACGCGCCTAGTTTAGGGCATGGTTCCCCCACTGGAGAATTCAGAAAGTCTGGTAGAAAACTCTCGGATTGGTTTGAGCGTTCGCATCTCGCCAACGAATGCCCTGGCGAGACACCCCCCGCGATGGGCCCGCAGGGGGCCGCCCGCGCCCGTGCAGGATTGGGCCGCGCAGGCGCATCGGAGTGTCTGCGGGGCGGACTCCCGCCTACTTTCCCGCCAGGCATTGTGCTTCTACCAAGTCAGGTGTGTGTTTGGGCCCTCTCCAACCTGCCCTGGAACGGTCGGATGAGCATGCGCATCTGCAGCGTTCAGAATGTTCCTCCTTCGCAGGGTTGGTTCCCGCGTAATTCGCCAGCCACGGTGCAAGGCCGCAGGCGAGGCGCGCTTTTCTCGGGATTGGTGGAAGCGGTTGCACTCGTTTGCGCCGCTTCCGTCTTTGGACAAGTTGGCCTTGCCCCCGGGTTTATTGATCTAATTTCTGGATACGGTACGGGTTTCAATGGATTCCTATGGGTGGCCGTACGGATTCCGATGAGGACCCCTATGGATCCCGATCGGGGGCCCTACGGGTTCCTATGAGGATTCCTGTAGATTTTGACTAGGATTAGTTTTGAACCTTTTGGGGTTGTCTCGGATTCATATTGGGAGTATCATCAGGACCCCTGTGCCCCCCGGACGCATACGGATCCCGATGGGGGGTCCACGGATTCCTATGAGGACCCCTTTGGTTTCTGAATGGGCTTCCGTGGATTCCAATGAATTCCTGTGGGCATTCGTATGCGGATTCCTATCGGTTGTTTGTGGTCGTCTTTTGGGGCTTCGTGGGGCTGCTTGGGATTATTTGGGCTGGCTTGCTGGGTTGGCGGGCCGATTGGCCGGCTGGCCTGTTGGTTGGTTGGCCAAATCGTCCTGGGATGTTTGGGTTGCTGGTTGGTTGCTCGGTTGGTTGGCTGGCTGGTCGGCTGGCCAGCTGGCTGGTTTGTTGGTTGGTTGTTTTGCTGGCCAGCTGGCTGGCAGGTGGGCTGGCTGGCTTGCGGGCCGGCTGGCAGGTCGGTTGGCCAATTGGTTGGGAGGAGGAGGAGGAGGAGGAGGAGGGGGAGGAGGAGGAGGAGTTGGAACTGGAACTGGAGCTGGAGGAGGAGGAAGAGGAATATGACATATACACACATATATATATATATATATATATATTATATATATATATGTGTGTGTATTATGCGGATAAGGACGAAAGGGTGGAGGAGGAGGAGGAGGGTGAGGAGGAGGACGAAGAGGAGGAGGAGGAGGAGGAGGAGGAGGAGGAGGAGGGGGAGACTCCTAATACCTCCCCCGAACAATTCACACCTCATCCGATCTAGGTAAGAGAATGTATGGCGAGGTGGAACGAGGTAGAGAAAGTAGGATGAGGTGGGCGGAGGC